GTCCTCCCTGCCACTGCCCCACAAAACACCCCCCCCACACAAAGGATCCATGTACTAATTAGCCCTTGCTTACCCACTCATTGGAATTAGGTGATTTTTTCAGGGACCTTCAAAAAGCCCTGGGATATGCTAAACTTTAAAACTGTAGCAGTTTGAAATAATTTATTAATGGTAATAAACCCTAAATAGTGTATTGCTTTTGAAAGTGAATACTAACTTGTCACCTGACAATTTTCAGCTAGAAGTTGAGACTAGATTTTAAAATGTATTTCCAAAGCAGATGCAATACCACTAACCAGTAAACCTTTGTAAAATTCTAGGATCTTCACCCTCTACAGTAAATCACTACCACTTGATCTGGCCTGTCGAGTCTGGGACGTCTTTTGTAGAGACGGAGAAGAATTTTTGTTTAGGACAGGGTTAGGAATCCTTCGATTATATGAAGATATCCTCCTACAGATGGACTTCATTCATATAGCACAGTTTCTAACAAAACTGCCTGAAGATATCACATCAGAAAAACTTTTTAGTTGTATTGCAGCTATTCAGATGCAGAACAGTAACAAAAAATGGGCACAGGTGAGTGGTTGTGTTTCTCAGAATAAATTGATGTGGCCAGTATAACACCAAAACCTGGTGGGTGACTTCACTATAGATCCTGCTTTGTGCTGGAAGTCTGGTTTCCAGTGGGGGAAAAACACAACATCCAGGGTTATCATTGAATGGACATGGTTTCACTTAGACCATATTTTACTTGCATGTTTAAATAGCAGCTCATTTTTTGTTTATGGAGACAGATGGCTTGCTACTCTTCCATTGAAAAATACCTTGAAAATGGAAATCACTACATCCCTTGGTTATAGAGCTCTAGAAGGGAAACAGTAGAATGGTGGGGAATCTTTACATTATTACATAAATTTCTTTTTCATGTAAGAGCAAGAGCAGCAAGGAAATAAAGTCACTTCTTAGATCCATATTTTCTAACCAGACTATATTCAGCCCCTGAACTCGATGAAGCATAGGATACATAGCAAATTATTATGAAGGGCTCATTTCAGCAATTTTTTCTCCCACTCAGTGCAGTTTTCAAAGTTATGACATTTTGATCTCTTGTGAGTTTCTGTAGTTAAGAGCTGCACATACTTTTTACTATAGTTGAATCCAAATTCTTTCTGTAACATTCTTAGGACAAAAGCTTTTGTTTTAAGATGCAATGTTTTCAGCTGCTGCTGCTGAAACCTGTCTCAAACCATGAAAAGGGACTGGGTTTGGGGGAAACTCATTTTTGATGGCCCAGGTCTTTTGGTCACGTGAGGAATGTGGAACAAATTCATGAATGAAGCAGTAGTAAGTGCTGGCCTAGGCTATTGCAGTTTGAGTGCCAGCATCTGACACATCAGTGCTGTATGCTTTTTTGGGTGAAGCTGAGTCTGTGGGAGTATTTTGTAGGATGGGAGAGAGTGAGAAGTGCCCTGAGTATAACCAGCAGGAATCAGTTTATAAGTGATGTCCAGTCTTTCATTCTTGGGGATCTGGTAATTATAACATTGGACCTAAAACTTAAAAATTGTGAAAACCTTTGGGATCCCTAAGTTTATACAATGGTTGTAAATAATTTAAATTTTGAAAAGATCGGTATTATGCTTTTACAAATGGTAGTGGACACTATGAGAAATGCTTATTCAATATTTGGTATTTTTAACTTGTGACTCATTTAACCTACATTTCTAGGTGTTTGCCTCACTAATGAAGGACAACAAAGAAGGAGACAAGAATCATAGCCCAGCACTAAAAAGCTGATCTCCATAATTTAGAGGTCAATTGAAAATGTAGAAAACCACTTGATGAATAAAAAGGAAATTTCACAGCATTTTGATGTGAAAACCACTATAGACAAGAGCTTAAACACAAAGAGAGAGACAGTATTTGACTCTGAATGGAGTGGCAGAAACTGATAAAATTGTCACCATTTTGCCAGTATTAGTTTTTTTGTGGGAAGATTATTTTCACAAAGACAACAGAATACTAAAACCTATGAAACTGAGAAAGTGGGGGAATACATATTTAATATTTTAAAAGAATCAGCTTAATGCAATAAACATTTGTAATAACTTCTGTTGGTACTTAAGAGTTTGAGACACAACTTTTTTTACAAATACCACAAAGGCACTTTTTGGGGACAAGGAATGTGAAGGAAATATTTAATATTAAGGCCCAAAAACTGCTATCTGAACCAAACACTTTCATACAAATATTACCTCCGAAATTAATGAGATAAAAATATTGTGGACCAAAAGAGTTTGTTTTGGTATGTTTGTGTCAGATAACATGAAGTTTTGGTGGGGTACGTCTTATTTAGCTATTTAAGTTCAGCTTCATTCTTCAGTTTAGGCAAATGTAATTAACTCAGGAACTGCAAAAGTATTGTGTGCCCAATCCTGCTATAGCAAAAATCCTACTGGTTTATGTAGGGGCTACTATTTGCAGCCCATAATCTCTAAATAACAGATTACTTCAAGCCTTTGTTTTCTGAAGTATTGGTTGTGCAGTTTACATTGGTTAAGACCTTAAATGGGCATTCCACACAGATTTTGCCACAGGAGGAATGTTAGCTAGTTGAGGTATTCATAATAAAATTAATGGTTCACTTGTGTGTGGTGGTAAACACTAGAAAAACTGACAAGTACTAGTCGTGATAGTCCTTGTGTGTTTGAAAGAGCACTGACCTTGAAAATTACAG